CACCTGACCCGTGTTTTGTTATGTGTATGTAGTGAATGCAAGCGGGGGTTCAACGTCCCCTTGTTTTTTGTCCCTCTTTCCCTCTGTGTTGGTATCACTGGGGCCCTGATTCACACCTGAAGACTGAATAAGTCTCTTGGAGGAGAGATGAAACGTTTCACTAAGAACCCATCCAGAGGTTCTACTTATTTTTTTCTTTTAGATACCTCAAATATTATTTGTATATTAAGATTTCACATCTGGAAAGAAAAAAACATTTCTAGCTCACATGGAAAAATTCAAAATTTTAGGGCGTTTTTCCTCAAAATCAGTTTTTTTGTTGTTGCTGCTCAAAAAATGCTTCAAATTTTGTTTTAAATTTTAAACAGTTCATTCAAATGATACATGAAGGCATTTATGCATTATATTTTGACAAAATGCTATTTTTGYACAAGTTAAAATCAAAACCCTACATCTGCCTATTTCTCCACATCCCACTTTTGGACTTAATCCTCGTTTCGATGTGATGAGTCATAAATAAGATGTTATCTACTGTATTCATCATTTAGTGCTGATGTCCCAAAACCTGATGGTCCCACCTTGATGTAAGCCCACGAGATCGGCAGGATGGCGCTGGAGCCCCACGGAGCGGCGCTGATGGTGCCCAGTGAGCTGCTGCTGTTCACCGACTGCATGGCCACCACCGGGTGGCTCGGCAGGAAGGGGGCGAGGTGGGCCTTCCTGATGAGAGGAGCCCGCCGTCAGGATTAGAGTTTTTAAGATATCGTCTAGTAATAAGTGGGCTTTAACACTTCAGCAGTCATGCCCTTAATGACCCAGAGGTTTTATTTGCATCTTTGCTTACACTCCGATGGGTCCCATGCCAGGTCCTCCTCCCCCATGAGGGATGCAGAAGGTTTTGTGCAGGTTCAGGTGAGACACATCGGAACCATAATCTCCAGGACGACACAAACCCACCTGAAACAAAAAAAAAAGTTCATAAAGTGGCTTAAATATACGTTGCTTTTTTGAAACAATAAATAAAAAGTGCTATTTGTCTCCTTTTGAAACTGAAGATTATTATCGTTTGAATTTATATTTGAGGAAAAAGGGGCAGATATAAGATTTTTTCTTCTCTGTCGCCTTTCATTTTATTTGTATTTTCTTTCCATTGTACATTGAATTATTTTTGTTTTTTGTAAGAAATTAATAAAGTTTGAAAAATAAACTTTAAATGTGAAAAAATTATATTTTAACAATACTTTGAAACTGGCTTTTTTATTGCTTCTTTTGTGTCATCTTAATACTTGTGACATCAAATTTTTGTAATGAATGTGAATGCATTTTTGGAAAGGGGACATTGATAACATATTRCAAAACAAAYTTTACACCRTTGAGATGAACAGTTGTTGAGATATTTGCATGTGAAGAAACRGGAAGTGATGTCAAAGGGGGRACGTCTGCATGTAAACAAAGYGTGGCTACAATAATTTGAGAGGAATCTGATGTTTCTTTAGATTATTTTGAGTCACTATCAGAGTTGACGAAGAGTWTAAATAAGATTGTTTCAATAAAAGACTGGAGAGTTTCTTTTCTCAAAGAGTTCCCCTTTGATATCACTTCCTGTTTCACTTAGCTGAGCCAAATTCAAGAGAAAATRTGACMGTTATGAGACAAAATTGGTAAAATCATGTGTATTATGCTAATTTTCTTCAATATAAATGTTTTCTTTGACTTTTTGTATTTGAAGGATAAGCATGTCACAGGTACTTTAACCTAATATGTTACCTCCTTAAATTTGATAAAATATTTGCCATCWTCTGCGAACTGCTTTAACTTAAAAGGTTATTCATTTACAGTGTGATAACGCTCATCCTGTTAAGACTTCCATCCCCCCACCCCTTCACAACAGAATTTTTTTTCCCACCTGGGCGTTCATGTTGGCACCATCCAAGTACACCTGGCCGCCGTTTTCATGAATGAGGTCACAAACGTCTCGGACATTCTCCTCAAAGACACCAAACGTAGACGGGTAGGTGATCATAATGGCTGCCAGGCTCGCCTTGTGTTTGTCCACCTAAAAAGAAATCMGACAAAATGACAGGAGCGTTGTTACAGATTCATCTGAAAGCTACTTCAAAAGACTAATGATGGCAGAAATTAAATGTTTGAGCGTTTGGAACAATTGTTCCTGAAAAAGATTTGATCGTGTGGATCGTACAGAACCCAACGGCGACATCTAGTGGCCAAATAAATTAAATCACAAAAGGAATTTCATCAATTTCACATCACGACTAAAATAAACGTCCAAACTTAATAAAGAAATACACTTAAACCTAAGGATAAAAAATATGTAAAACAAGTAAAGCTGGGACTAAGGTGYTTTCCAAAAACCAAACCCACACTCAAGTATACAAGGCAAATACTTACAAATACTTTGGGTTTAAGAGGTTTCATCACAATGATTATAATTTACAGTCATATTTCAGCTCTCACCAGTGTCTTCAGGTGTGGCAGGTCGATGTTGCCGTCTTTGTCCACCTCCACCACCTGAACCTTCATGCCCGCCATCTGAGCGCTCGCTGGGTTGGTGCCGTGGGCAGATTTGGGGATCAGGCAGACCTGAAGCAACAGGTGAGCAGGTAAAGTAAACACCAAGAACATGTGGGCGCCAATCATAGAATCTACAACAGGGGTTCTCAAACCTTTTTAT